ATTTCTTGAAACGGTTCGTACCTGAACAGACTGATGTCGATTTCTTAGAATAGTGCGATTAACCGGTCATGTAGTAAATGTGCACCTCGGCTGGCCATTTCCTGATCTTCTAATGTCCATGATTCAATCGCTTGTCTTGGGAAAGATACTCCTACTGTTATGGGAGCACTATGCTGGTTTCTTCTTTCTGTACTTCGTGTAATTCTAAAGGTGATAGTGAAATTGTGTGTAAAGCTCGGTTGATTTAATTTTTAATTTGCTACTTTTCAAAATTCTGAAATTTCAAAATTCAAAATTCAAAGTTTTTTATGTATTTAAACAGCTTTGAGAGATACTACGATTTTATACGTGATCCGTTATTTTGTTCAGTGTAGATAGTGACTTATATATGTAATTATGCATTTTTATATACAATCTGCATAGTTACATTGTGAACCACGTGTCGCGAATAGACACAAATCAACTCTTTACATAGGACAATAGTACAGTGTAAACTTGTAACATCGTTCGTTAGAACAGAAAACATTTTGTAACGTACATAAGTAAATTTGATTGTTTTACCTTAAAACACATATATTTAAAAACTTACCTATAGCTAAACCCATTGTGAAGAAGTGTGACAATTTGCTAAGTTAAATAATTTGGCAATACTTTGATGAAACTAACTAAAACTTAGTGTTAAAAAGTTGAGTTTGTTTATGCAGTTTTATTTATTATATTGTCTAAGCTAAAGAGGGCGATTAAGGGGGTCGAAATTGGTTGCTAATTATAAACTAAGTCTTGAATTTTCTTTATAAACAGAATCTGTACTATAACTGTTCAGTTCATGTTGATCTGATCAAGGCGGAGTGATATACATTCATTGTTTGAAATGTACAAGAATTGCGTATTACAAGGAGCTGATATAGTCAAAAATGCACGTCTGTTACAAGTTAGAAACAAAACATTAAAAAAATATATTGGAGAAAAAAACACTGTCTGAAAAGTTTAAAAGATAAATGGAGAATGTCAAAAAGAGGAAAACTAAGCTCTTTGGTTTTCTAAAAAGCTTAGTTTTCTAAAGAGCTATGTTTTTAACATAAGGGGTATTATTTCCTCTTGTTCTTTTTACCCACGCAATATCTTTCGCTTTTACACAAATAGCCGGAATAGTCAGGGGTAGCTCCGCGGTTTCACAGAATACCACCGTCAAGTGGAAGTTGTAAAGTATACTATAGTTATACTTCAACTTATTATTATATTACTAGCGGACCGGACAGACGTTTTTCTGTGCACACGACTTAAATCCGATTGCTTTAAAAATACTGTGAATCTAAACCATTCTCGAATCGCCCTGAAGACACATAAAAAATTCATTAAAATCAGTCCAGCCGTTTAGGAGCTCAGTGACATACACAGGTACAGAAGAATTACATATATATAAAGATAAAGGTTAGTTATCAGCAATCCGTCTTGTGCTGTAGTTCATGGGCCTTATAACATCTGGTAACCGCCGCCCCTCTTGCCAGCTGTTCCCACAAAAGACAAATCACGACGTCATAATTATCTTGGATTTTCTCACGTTTCGGTGGATCGTGAATTCGCGCCAAGCAGAACTTTTTTTTTTAATAACCCAAAACGTATTTAACGACTTGTTGACTCCGTCTACAGTTTTACGACTGCACGCGCGTCTGACGTTAACAGCCGCTATTATTACGTGCGGCCCTATAATTGCGTAACGATTATAATAATTACTCGCGCTTTATGAAATGCCAATCAAAATTTATGCTAGGCTCTAATTGTTCAGCCTTTGTCCGCCGTTTAAGAGCAAATGAGATTTTATCGCCGCCGTATATGGGCGGCGGTTTATCGGTGGCTTAAATGTGCAAATTAAATAATGATGTTGCGAAATCGATTGATTGGGTTGCATACAAACGGTGATTGGATACGGCCATATTTTGTCTCATTAACCCGCGAAGAAACTAGATGTGCGACATCACTTCATAGTATAAAACAAAGTCCCGATGTCTGTCTGTATCTTTCAAATATCTTGTAGCAGTTTAGGCCGAGCATTTATAATCGATTGGGGGATGACCCGATTGATGTACGGGCTAGGTCTTTCTCTTTCTCTCTCTCTCTCTCTCTCTCTCTATCTGGGTTCGATCCCCACTGCTGGAAAAATGTTGTGCGATGAACGTTACGTTTTTCCAGTGTCTGGGTGTTTATATATTTATGATATATATCTTTTTCAAAAAAGTTAGTTAAGTATATTTCTCAGTTATTTAGTACCCTAGTAGGGACTGGAAAACGTTCTGTAAAACACATTTTTATTGCCTGAAATGTTTTTTTTATTTCTCACATGGGTTTGTGGCTGTGATTTCATTACTGTGCACCTCTTTGCGAAACATTCCTAATTTCCTAGTGCGGGAGTTATGTTTATAACGGTCAACAAAACAATATATAGTGTAATTTATGATCGTGATGCTACTGGAGGACACAATAATACGTTTAAGGCAACTTTTTACACCGAGTGTCATTTTAGGAATGCACCGCAAGTAAACAAATAAATTGAAAACGCTGAATAAAGAGAGTGGGTCGGAAATATAAGTGGAGGAACGCACGAGTCGCCCTCGCGTGGACACCTCCGCGCCAATTTGGGCTAATTAGGTCAAAATCGATCGGCAAATTTATTGCGCCCATTTTTAAGCGGCCATTTTGCGCCTGTCATGTTTTTTTATTATTTAGATGTCAAAAGTAAACGGCCATTGTTCCCAATGCCTCGCGGGGGCGACGCGGCGCGGTCGGCAACAAATTATTTTCCCGCGATTAAGATCTGCTCTGATGAATGAGCGGTGATTTATATTTCGAATACGCCGTGCAATCGTACTTCGATTGAAAACTAAACACATTTCTTAAGTAATTAAAAAGTAAATTAATGTCATTGCGATGACTGGCATGATCTATACATACAGATAAATAAAATTGGAGAGTTTGTTTGTAATATTAAAATAACAGCTTTTTACTAAATGCATATGGATGTATACACGCTATATATACCAAAATAACATTTTTAAATAACAAGTTTTGTCTGTCTGGCTGTCTGTTTGTTCCGGCTAATCTCTGACACGGCTGGACCGATTTGGACGGGACTTTCACTGGCAGATAGCTGATGTAATAAGGAGTAACTTAGGTTACTTTTATTTTAGGTTTTTTTTATTTTAAATTCCACGCGGACGAAGTCGCGCGGAATAATAATAATCTTTATAACAGCTAGGAAATAATAATCTTTAAAAGCGCTTCAAAGCAATAGATAGTAGCGTGTTATATCGAGATTCGGTAGGCATTGCTTTTATCAAGTTGAACTGATTTCACTGATGGCCGGTCATGCGTTTGCTCCCTACGCGAAAGTTAATTAAGTAAATATTTACAGTCATGTAAACAGTCATGTTGGTATTTACAGTCATGCAAACAATATACGCGTCGTTTACGATTTTAATTTTAACTAATTGAAATCTTTATACACTAAATGTTACTTCGCTTTCCAACCGACTTCAAAGAAAGGTTCTCTTATTTCGACGTTTTTATGTAGTTACCTCAGAACTGCGTCACTTATGAACCAATTTTAAAAATTCATTTATAAACTAATAAATAAACCTTGGACTCTACATGAGGAAACTCTCCAAATCTTATTGAATCGTTCAAGTTTAGTAATTGAGTGATGCACGTCAGGATTTTCCGCCATGGTAGAGAAAGCGCTGTATCGGATGCTTTATAAATAACGGCAAGATTACGGATATAATCAATCCGAATCAAATATATAAAATCCAAGCAACACATTCACACTTAGCTTGTAACAACGCATTCGCAAAACTGTTATTCTAGTGAGAGGTGAGTAATTGAAAAGGCCTGTGAAGTTTATTAATTTACTATCATACGGCGATGCAAAGTTTTAATTATTACATCGTCTAAGGTAGACCAAGGTCGTAGAAAAACGAAAGGTCGTGATAAATGTTGAATCGTCTATAAAGCGAGATTTTATTTATTATATACACATCGCCAACCTTTACCTTTCGAACCGCGTGTGCCGCACTCGCCAAGCGAAACGCAAAACTATTATACTTTGAACCGGTCTCCTGTGAGGCCAGGGTATATTCCCGCGCGGAAGATTACCTCTTCGTGTTCCCGTGTCCTCGGTTAATGCAATAGTGCAGGTGCAACGTGCGTTTTTAGTGGGTGCCTGTTCTGTGCGGGCATCCACATACCCCTGCCACTCCCCCGATTCCGTGCCAGGGGATCCATAAAGGATTTTTGCAACGTTAAAAACGATATATCCCCGAAAGGGCCGGTCCGCTCTGCAAGAGCAGAAGTTCCTGCGTGGCGCTACCACGGCAGAATAAACATTTTCTCTAAGATCATTTTACGAACGACGTCAAATACTACTCTGTTAACTAAGAACTAAGATGAACTACTAAAATGAACTTACGAAGCTTACGCGTCATTTGATAACGGAATTGATCCAGCTTATTGCACAGATGGTTTAGAATTTGCTTTCATGAAATGTTTTGGGTTGAGAGTTTATGAGAGAGGTTTTGCAATAGTTACGAAAATTATAATCTCTTTCAAATAATATTGTACTTTACCTGACGTTTTCGCTTTCAGTCCGTAGATGAGTAAAGCTTCACCGAATTCTGCAGTCTTGGCCCAGTAGACTATTAAAGCTTCATCAGCACTCTTGGGCTCCATGTTGACACGGCACCATGTGGCTGGACCGGGTGTCCTAACACCCGGAGCGGTCTTCTAAGGCCACAGTCGAGCCGGGGTTGTTCCCGTGCCATCGGTAAAAGCGAGAAGGAAGGTGCATCGAGTACTCCCACATACCTATGTCTAGGGCTAGTAAAGCTATTAAAACGGCCTCACAATAGGTATGTGTGAGTCCGTTTGTTTGTGTCTACCCACAAGGCGGCGGGGACCCATAAAGAATTTTTCCCACGTGACAAAAAGGTCTCATCGGTTCAGGCACGATGACGGCGGTGTGCACCAATAGCTTATCTGTGGAAGAGTCGTCGCGTGCCGGAATGCGGCCGTTAATTAAGCGGTTGCCAAACGCGGCCGCGACCGTCCGCCGCCGTGCGCCGTGTCAAGAGCGCGTGACGCAACCCGCTTCGTCGAGTGGCAACCCTGCCGTCTTCTACCACCGGTTCTCGATAGAGACAACCCTGTAACCGTCTCCTTACTACCGGCTGTTCAAAGTGACAGCCTTGGAGCCGTCTCCTTGCTATCGATTCTCGAAAGCAGAAGTCCTATAGCTATCGGTTCCAGAAAGTGGCAACCCTATAGCCGTCTCCTTACCACCGAATTTTGAGACAGGCAACCCTATAAAGATCGAAGGGATGGTCATGAGAGAGTTTGGTCTATGTCCACTTCCGCCTACTACAGCATGTCTTTGTATTGCTTGACTTATTCGCTTTCAGTAAAAGGGAGCGTGCAAATTTTAACGAACAAAGTCCGCGAAAAGTTCCTATAGGTTTATACTTTTAGCGAATTTCCTATCGACGATTCGCAAAACTTCCTCCATGACTAAGAATATAATGATATAATTTCAACAACAGATTCAGGGACTCGGTTTTGTGCTGCGGTAGGGTTCATTCGTCCGTCTCGGCTTCGATTCCCACTAGGAACGAGTATTATATAGTCTATATAATGACATCGGTGTTTGTCCTTGTTTAAATTGCTTGTTAAATGTGTACACCGGGTTATCGTATTAATTAAGGTTAAATGCGTAACAGAGTAAACGGACACTCTTATAAATAATTCCAGAGTAGATGATTTAATCTCAAAATTGTAACCTAAAAACTGGTTGGTACCACTTCGTCAGGTATCATGCCGTTTTATAGCTTTCTTTAAAAAACGACTTACGTCCGTATTCAGATTCATTAGGTATATTCAATGGTCTTATGACTTTAAAACTGAAGTTGGCCAACGAATTGAGCGTTAGCAAAGTGCTAATTGGAATCTCTGAGTGAGGCCGTAAAATTTCCGATCATTATTTATGGTATTGCACATACGAATGAATATCGCTACGTGATTTTTGACAACCATTGTTCGCGCTCATGGACTGACAGACAGTCAGAAATTGAGAAGCGTACCCGAGAATCATCCTGTCAGTTTCTTTATTGCGTATACCTCACTGGAGACGCCTCTGTCACGGGGCGCGATACTCACGTCATGAACGATGCCCTCGAGTGGTTTAACAATCACTACATAGCATAAAACAAAGTCGTCACTGTCTGTCTGTCCCTATATATGCTTGGATCTTTAAAACTGTGGGAAGGATCTTGATGCGGTTTTTTTACCACATAGAGGGATTCAGAAGGTTTATATGTATAATATATGCATAATGTAGTAGAGAAACACAGTAGAGTATGTTTAGTATCAGCATTGCACCCGTGCAAAGCCAGGGCGGGTCGCTAGTAATGAAATATAAGCTTATTTTTTAACCGACTTCAAAAAAGGAGGAGGTTCCGGATTCGGTTGTATTTTTTATGTTTGTTACCTTAGAACTCCATCATATGTGAACCGATTTTAAAAATTGTTTTTTAATGTTTTTGGTTTAGCTCACACATGTTCCCCTATTAATTTCATTGATATTGAACCTTGGAATCCAGCGAACTTCTCAAAATGAAATAGAAAATTTATAGTCAGTGAGATATTTCATGTCGGTTTTGTTTTTTTGTTAATAAAAATGTACTTGTTTAAGTGATAAAGAATATACCAAGACTGACGTTACAATTGTGGTATTATCTATATTCAATTTATTATTATTATTACCTGGTTGTTGTATACAATCGCCTGTTGTGGAACGTTGGACATCGTGGTGGGGTGGATGCCATTTTTGGTTCTGGCGCGATGTCCGATGGTGGAATTCAGCCGCCGGGATTCCAAACCATTCCTCAGAACACTCCCCCGTGATAAATACCCCCGCTTCCGTATCAAACTTGTTCCCATCGACCATTTAGACACATCGTGTGAGAAGTGTACAAGGATTTTGTTGAATTTAAGTTATGGTTTAACTTTATTAGTAAGCTTCTGCGGGAGTTGTAAATGGGCGGCGGTTATTATTTAACATCAGTAGAACCGCCAACTCACTTGCCACCTTCTCACATAAAAAGTTCGTTAATCTGCTGAATTTTGATTACAATGGAGGCACAGAACATTATGCCAAAGACAGATCGTGTTTTTTCTTCACTACATATTATAAAACAAAGTCGTCCCGCCGTCTGTATGCTTAGATCTTTAAAACTACGCAACGGATCTTGATGCGGTTTTTTTACTGGATAGAGTGATTCAAGAGGAAGGTTTATATGTATAATACATTGCACCCGTGCGAAACCGGGGCGGGTCGCTAGTTTTAGTAATATAACAAAGAACATTGTATCGAAAACATGTTCTTTAACTTCACCGGTCGACTAATTGACGTCGTATTTATCTCTCTCTCATCTCTATTAATACGCAAACTCTTTTGTGTTTAAACAATATTTCGCATTCAAGATCCCACACATTCTGTAAGCCTTCCTTACGAAGGTAAGTGATAAGGACGTGGATGAAATTTTAAAGTCACACGTCGACGTTCTTGAAGGTTTTGACCGGGAGGCGTTATTTAATTGGCGCGAGCGGCGTGGGTCCAAAATAATAATATTCTCCAAAGTTTGACAAAGGCCAAGAACGACACACGGTGTTTATTGTTCGATTGAGGTGCAATTACCTTATGATGAAACCGAATTCAATAACAAAGTATCTTAGTATATAGCGCGCGGTCACGTCTTTTGTTGAGATATATCCATGGTCATAGTCAAATTATTTTACAATTCCGTTTATGGGAAATTATCGACCCGCCTCGGCTTCGCACGGGTGCAATGTTTTATACATCAGTCATCATCTCTTGAATCAGTATCTAGTAAATAATTTTTAACAAAAAATAAAACCGAATTCAAAGAGGAAACTAAAAAATCATTGTTAATATCTCTAACATTTGAGGATTGCCCTCGATTTCTCTGGGATATCATCATCATCAGATTCGGGTTTCCTTATCATGGTACCACCCTTGGGATATCTCCTCGCCAACAAAAAAAGAATCATTAAAGTCGGTACATAAACGCCGAAGTTATCCGCGAACACACATAAAAAACACATGCGGTCGAATCGTGAAACCACCTTCTTTTTTGAAGTCGGTTAAAAAAACCATCAAGATGCGTTGCGTAGTTTTAAATGTATGCCTATGTATGCTAAAATCGCATACATAGGGACAGCCAGACAGAGGGGCGACTTTGTTTTATACTATGTAGTGATAATAGAAACGTTTAATTTTTTTTAGATAATTTTCGCTCCGAATTCGAAACTTCGCTCATGATTTCGAATTCCCGCAATATCTTTTCGGATTTTATATCGTCAAACTCGTATACCAGTTTGAAAAGTTTTTCTAATTACTTTGTATCTATCTTGTACATGTAAACCGATGGAGGCTTATGATTTCCGTTGATAATTCCTTGGGATTTTATGCGTGTGAATATGAAGTTAGATCATAGTGTTTCTCGTCCACATCCGATTGGGTCCGTAAAGATATTTGTTCCGTCTTAAGACGATTCGGTCATAACTATTATCGCGTTTACACAAAGAGCGGTTTATTTTACCTGCAGAATAATCTCCGTGGGTTGTTTCACGCTCTTGACCCGTACTCTTATTGTATTTTATTGCTCAACCGTGGCCGCTGGAGACAGTAATGGATTTTTCAATGGTGGTAAATGCTGCACATAAATAGCAAGTAACGTCGTGGCGTGTTTGAAATCTGAAACACGCGTGTGTTCTACGCATATATTTAGGACACATTCTTTTTACACAACGTAAGAAAACCGATAGACAAACTTAAACATAGTTTTCTTTTGTAAATAAATACACATTATACATATATAAACACCCAGACACTAGAAAAACACTATGCTCAACATACAATATTTTTCCAGTAGTGGGGATCGAACCCACACTCTCTGGCGCAGAAGGCAGGTACACTACCGACTACGCCATTCGGGTCGTCGGGTTGTCTTGAGCGAACCTAATAGTAGAACCTTGTGTTAGTCTGCTGTTGCAATAATAAGCAGACTCCTTAGAGGATGTGTCCAACAGGCCGAGAAAATGTCATTATATACTTCTGCGTTTTGTCTGGTGAATGAGTTCACTAGGATCTCCTTTTTAAGGATTTACCCTTCTCCGAGGCGTGCCCACGCCGAGTACCGAGGGACGTCGGTGCGTTCCATAGGAGATCTCGGGGTCCCTCCAAACCTACGGAAAGTGGCCACCGAGGGGGTTTTTTTGGTAAGGTGTTTTGGGTAAGAACCCCGTGTAACCCTGTCTTTTGTCAAGGGTATCGTTTGAAGATACCCCCCGATACAAAAAAGGTACTCTTTTAAAAGTAGTAGATGTCAAGCAGATGACATCTACAACTTCACATCAAAATTAAACCAGAAGTAACTGTGGAGGTTAGCTTCACAACCCATGTGACTTGCTTCAGGTAAAAGTTTGGTCATCGTTTAAACTTAGAACGAGATGATTTTTTTTACATTAGCTTTGGGTTTTACTAAGAAAATAAAAAATTACAAAAAAACGGAGAAAACATTCCATTCTCGAATTTAAATAGGTGAGGTTTCTACTAAAGCTAGCAGAACAATATAATGCGTCTGTATTACATTGTTCTGCGGGCCTTGCTTCTATTTGATAATTTTTTTTGCTTTCCAAGAAAAGAGTACATTGGCCAGTCCTATGCAATAGGTACCGAGCAGCCTTGGCTTTGCTGAAAAAGTTCCACGTAAATGAATCTGTGGGTAATGATCACTTGCTCAATAGTCGATTACGACAAAGAATAAAACCAACACAACCTGACGGGTTAACGATGTCTATGAAATTTTTATCGTGTCAATTAGCGCACTGGTTTATTGAATTTACTTATCATCAATTACTTAAGAAGTTATAGAAAATATGAGTGCAATTAAAATTAATATTTTAATTCGAGTGAGCTTGCGCAAGTCCAGCTTATTTATAATATTAATGATTATCGAGCGCTTATGTGGTATTTTTATGGTTTAAGTTGTTCAATGGCACATTTTATATTACCTTTTCTCTCAATAACTCTATATCAAGTCATAACCATACTGCCCTAAAGTTTGTTGTTGTCTTAAATAAAATTTTAATATACGTTAACAGAGACAGAAGTTGCATTTACGTGAAGATCGCAACATCTCTATCTCCCGAACATTTATTTCTTGGTTATTTTAAAAATTTTATTGTAATTGTTTGGCCCGTCTTAATATCGAATAGATTTCTTTTCGTTAAACTCCTTTGATTGGTAGAATAAAAAGTCAAAGTCAATAGTAATTTACATTATTATTGACTTTGGTCCGATTTTTACCACATGTATTAAAATTTATCTAAAAAGCTCTTTGTTAGGAGTCTATATTTAATGATAGATATTAGTTATTATGTTTTGACTAGTTGTTTTCAAAAGTATCTTAAGTTATGGTACATAATATTTAAAAAGTTTTTCTGCCATCTGTAATCATACATTATTGGGGACATAAATATTTTTTAGTGTCTTAAATTTGAGATAGTATGTGGAGATAACGAGATCTTTACACAATTTATTACATTTTGGATGAAATTTGGATGTTTGTTTCGTTTTCAAGTCGTATTTTCGCATTTAAACAATATTATTTAATTAGTTCTTATTTCAAAAACGATTGAACGCAAGGTGCGTGTGTCACAATTATTGCTTCTTAAAACTATGTCAATTGCCTTTTTACGACTTTGGTTATTTTGATCGTAATTAAAACCTTTAATTTCACTTAAGGCAAAGTGTTCAAATATTTAAATTTTAAATGCGGTTTGCTAATCTACAATACGAGTTCCATTCGGCATAGATATTTAGTATTTATAGAATTATTGGTTTCGATTATGTTTTCATAAAGATGACGCATCTCCATACTGCGCGACATTTAAAAATGTTCCGCTTTACATTATATGACATATATAAGTTAATGTGGTAGCATGTGGTGGCTGCCGAGGTAAAAAAAAGGTTAACAGTAAGAATAACACGTTACTCAGAAAGAGTTTTATGGTAATTTTTGCACATCAGTTATCCGAAAAGCGGGAGACCTAGACACTAATTGGATTTATACATTTTACGTGGATTTACTTTATATTTTTAATAAAATTAAAGTTTTTCATTCGAACCCAAGACTAATAAATGTAAAATTCCAGTTTATTACCTATCACTAACGGCCGCTTTCAATTTTCTATCTACAGATAAGCCTACCGGTTCTGCGTCAGATGAAGCTTTAATAGTCTCGGGACTGAAAGCAAAAACATCAGTTAATACAAGATCTGCAGATAGATTTGTTTACTGACGATAGAATTTTGACATAAGTGTTGTGGAACTAATGTCAAATACCTATCGCTAATAACAAAATCTATCTGTAGATAGAATATTGAAACCGCCATATATATTGTAAACAATTTTTATAATATATACGATGTAACCAAGTTCCAGTCGATGTAACCAAGTCCAAGTTTTTGAAGTGGCCAGTTAGAGCAGTAACAAATGACAAATTTAAATGCGATATCTCACAAATTTACTTTCAGGCGGCAAGCGCTCTGTTCACCCTCGACGGGGCAAGGGGCGAGGCGTTGGCCAGGCGATTGGCAAGGGGCGAGAGGCGAAGGAGGCGGTGCCGCGCTGCCTTGGCAATCATTGGCATCTTACTTCTGCTGGCTGCAGTCTGTGCGGTGGAACTGTTCATGTCGCGGGGCCAGCGAGTCTTCGGTGCTGTTCTACGATGATTGGTGTTGACGCTCTCGAATATTGGGTATGTTGGTTGACTGTATGTCTACTTTCCCGGGGTTCGGGTCAAATTGAAAATCGTGCGATCGTTACGAAGACTGTATAACGATTAATTCATTTTGAATAAATAAATAAATATTTTAGGACACATTTTTACGCAACGTTCTCTAGTCCCAAACTAAGCAACGCTTAGTTAGCTAGGACCCATAGGTGTACTAGATAACTGATAAACATACTTAATATACATACTTTTCTTTTGTAAATAGACACATTATACATACATATGTGTTTACATAAACACCCGGACACTAGAAAAGCACTATGTTCATCACACAATATTTTTCCAGTAGTGGGGATCGAACCCACACCCTCTGACGCAGGAGACAGGTACATTACCCACTACACCATTCGGGTCAATTTGAATGATTCGATGCTAAGAGGGAGAGGAGCAATTTTAAGGGTGACAGTTACGTTTAAATCTGATCGGCCTAACGTGTGCGAATTTAAATTTTATCGGGCGTCGATTACACAGACGCACACAACCCTACAGCGCCATCCTGTTCGAACCAGCGAACTATTATCGCGAACAATTGGTACACTGCGAATGAAGTGTCGACTCCTCTCTCAGGCATATCACTAAGGAGAGACACTACGGTATACTACTTTATTTCTCGTGCATGCACTTCCCTTAATGAATGAATGGATGCAATAACCTTTATTGTACACCAGACAAAAATTACAAAAGTAAAAAAAAAAATAGATAAGGCCGCCAATTGTACCTTTATTTGCGTTACTTTACATTATGCCCTACCTTCAGTGTATATTCATTGTAATATATTTTTTTATATGAGAAGTTAGCAAGCAACCTGACGGTTCACCTGATGTTAAGTGATAATCACCAACCGTGGACATTTGCTACACGCGGAGGGTTGCAAATACGTTGCTACTTTTAATAAAATAGGCCCCGGCTACCTCACTCACCGAACGAAACGCTTAATATAACTTTAACACATCCACTTCACGCCGGTCTTCTGTGAGATTGTGGTACTTACCCGGACGGACCTGCTTTATTTTACTATTGCGTGGCCCTACTACACTATAGCAAATATCTAATAACACAAGCTTAAGATATTTATCGAAGACCTAATTATAGATATTTCCGGAAAAAATAAAACTTGAAGATCTTAATACCACCGTTACTTTATTTCTTGTTAACCACAGCCTACATATGTTAAAAAAATCCAATTATAATCATCTCACTTTTGACAGGTATTAGAAGGGTTGTGAGCCAGATGAAGGTCAGGACATGACACAAGCTTCTTTTTCCTATTAATAATGATATTAACAATAACGGGGTCAGCCTAAAATTTGAATCTTGTAGTTATTAGCACAGGTTATGTTTTTTGCCACTGGCTGTCTGTATGTCGACCCTCCTTACGAATCCGAAAAAATATCTACGGGTCACACAAATACTGGACTCGTTTGCGAATCAAACACACAACTCCCGGCGCCTGGGCTTATAGCTTAGCAACTGTGCCACTGAGTCTCGTATCATCAAGCGATGAAAAAAATATTAAGTCCGAGTCTTCCATTTTCAGGTGCGAATCAACACGGAATATACGTGAAGTGCATTAGCGGTTAGAGTGACAGTGCCGCTATAAAACTAAGTTCAGTTAATCACAGTTAGAGGTGTTTTAATTTTTTTAATTGTATCAAAAATTTTATTGGCTATATGTTTTATTCCCCACGATATACAAATATAGATATTGATGCCATGCGAACTTTCTATAGACATTTACGAGTACATGTCATTTCTAGCAAATTTTGGTATATGATTTCTTCACTAAACGTTTCTCAATATAGTTTTATGTCTGACAAGTCTTAGCTTAATAGCCACAACACGTCTATTGCTTTATCTATTATCATTGTGAGATGAGTACTGCCTACGGCCTACTGACGTGGCGTGATAATTATTTAATTTAATACTTCCCTTGCCATTTCTTTTTAATACTTCCATTTTTTTTAATACTTCCCTTCCATTCCATTTCAGAGGGGTCAGTGCAATTCGCATTCTTTTCGAATATAACGTTACATGAAACTATAAAAACATAGATATGTATGTATTACTCCATCCACATTTGTCATTGGTCAACGTATAAATGTTAAAAAAAAACAATGGTTAATATTTTGCTCGTATATATAGCCATCAATAACCATATGAAATACACGTCCGCCAATTAATGTGGTTGCACAAATAGTTAATGTTTATAAATGTCATTGAATTACTTCTTCATCAAACTATGTAGGTTTAGCAATATGTATTACGTATAAATAATTGTATTGCATAGAGTGTACTACGGTTTCAATAGTTTATTTTTAATTTTTTTAATTTGCAGATAATGAAAGTAATAGCATATTTTGATTTTTATTTACTATTTTTTGTATAAGTGATTTCACAGAGTGAACACAGTCAGCCAGTAACATAAATTATATAAGCTCTAATTAGGTTAGGAAGAAAAGTTTTATTTAATAAATAATCTATTTCCTTTAAGTCTCATTCTTCTCTCTTTCCCTCATCAGAAGTTCATGTTTATGATCATCATTATGTACTGTAACGATTTTTATAGAAATTTTATGTCTTTTTTGTGAATTTGAAAATGAATTATATTATAATCTTATACGTTATCGTGTTCAATTAAGAGGTATAAACTAAGTTGTGATATAATTATTTTGAAAATTTTCTATAATGACTACATTGTTTTAAAAGTTTTCTGATAATGTTTACCGTAGATACTGTGTATATTATTAAAAAAAATTACCTTCTATGATGTTTGTGCCTATATTTTTTATGTGTAATTTTTTTTAGGATAGGAAGAAATAGAAAATAATCTCAAGAATTTCTAACCAATTTATTAGAACCAGCAGTTAAAACTGCGTTATCTTTATTCCTAGCCATATATTTAAGTTATAATGATAGGATTTTTCCTTTTTTTTTTTAATGTATCCTTTTTAATAAAGCTGTAATTAAGGGTATTTCGATTTAAATTATGTGATCTTCGTTCATTGTGATGTTTGTACCTTATTATAATGTTATATTGGTAATGTAAATTTTTCTCGGCATAACGATGTCGTTCAGTGATGTATTTTGCACAAAGTGCATTTATATCTTCTTTATGAATAAAATATATAATGGCGGTGTATTTTTGGTTTTATTCAGACGATAAGTATTTTCCGCTTCCTTTGGCTCAATGTATTTTGAATACGTGAGGAATCCATCAAACATTTTATTACCAGTTTATTAAGGTCAAAAATTATATTATTTATTGTCATAAAGATTCATAGAACAAAGAGGGCTATAAATATATATTATTTTATTAGATTAGATTGGAAACGCTTCATAACTTCCCCAAAAAGTTTACCACAGTTAGAAATTAAAAAAAACATTTTTCTTTTTTTTTCCGACTGTTTTGTTTTATCATATCTTACTCTAGAAAAACAAAAGAAAATATAAAAGAGACAAAAAAGCCAACGACACGCGGTGTTCCCGGGCCATCACACCCATCCAAGTACTGACCGCGCACGACGTTGCTTAGCTTCGGTGATCGGACGAGAACCGGTGTATTCAACGTGGTATGGACGTTGGCGTAAGCCACATTCAAATACACAATTACTGGGCTTGCTTTTTTTTGTTATTTGCTTATTCTTAAAACGGTTTAAAGTACATGACTTGGCATTAATTCATAACCCTATTAGATTTTATTGTTATTTGACTAACGTAACGGTGAACTTCTAAATTAAGTTTTTCCTGTCTAACCAATCAGTCTCCATTTATATCAAAATACAAGATAAAGTTTGAGAAACAGTTAAAAAAAATGTTTATTTATCATTATGGACAAGATTTTTAACAATAAAATATCAGACCTTTGATTTATCGCGACACGTCAATCGTCATTAAATAGGAATTCGTCAATCTTTAAATGTGGAGGTTGCTTCGTACACTCATTAATATTTTGATATTTACCACAACATAGGTATCCTAATCTAGATATATGGAACTTCTGTATTAGGGTTACGATTCCGGCAGACCATAGGGTGGGACAACCTAATCTAGATGTATCGGACTTCTGTAGAGTTACGATTCATCAAATATTACATCGTCGACCTTTTCGTCTTGTTGATCCATGGGCACCTCGTCGAGCACTTGACATTTGAAGGCAATCGCCACCACCTGCAAAGGAGATATTTTGAAGTGGTATAAGCCATAAGCCATCATTATTTTTCTTACAATAAGGAAACATAAAAAATTGTCAGTGTAATAAGTTTTAACGTTGGTGACTGTTATGCGATGACTTAAGTAGGCGTAGAAATTACTAATATTTACAACTTTTTCATGGCTTCAGTGTTTCTAAATTCTGACTCTACTAGGTTAATTCTATTGGGGCTCGGATATATATGTCCACCAAAGAAAGTAACCTACAGGTGCCTGCTTCGGTTGTGTTTCGTCGTTATAGTCTCATGATGAAACTGCCTTGGTTGATCAGTTTCCTTGCTGTCGTCCACAGATGGCGCTTCAAAAAATGTTGCCAACAAGTATAACTTATTATGTCACAGCTGTATGCTTGAGCGGTTACCTTGGGCGCGGTCGACGGGTTCTGTCGCAGATGGGCGATGTATTTATCGTAATATCCCCCGCCGTGGCCCACTCTGCCCCCGTTGCGTGTGAACGCCACACCGGGCGCGATGATCAGATCAAGCCCTGGAACAGTACCAAGACTGTTAATATAGTTGTAGGTACTACTTCATTTGAACTGTTCATTGTCATTTGTTTATTGCACACGAAAACGCTACACGTACGAGTATCGGGCTAAACTGACTAGTCGGTAAATGATAAAAAAATGAACCGTCAAAATCGGTTGACACAGTTGAAAGTTTTGTGATAACAAACATAAAAAAAAATACAGTCGAATTGAGAACACACTCCTTTTTGAATTCGGTTAAAATGTAAATAATTCGGAAAAAGGTACATTCATGGTGATATTGGAAATAGAAAGATAAAAGAAACAACTTTAAAATCATGTAACATATTTAGGTTCATTAATGATGTTACTAGAGATAGAAAAGTAAAGAAAACAAAGCTAAAATGATGGACATACGTATATCACGTCGAATTTACTATGTAGGTATGTGTTTACCCCATCCACTATATTTACTTATTTATTACATATAATGTACAAAGCTAAAATGACGCATAAGCGTTATTCCTTTACCTTTATCTCTCTTATATCACAACATATATAAATATAACGAACATATACATATCGGTGTACGGGACTGTTTGCAAGCCCTAAATCATGGCAAGCGCTGAGCCAACTAACTGATCAACCGGAATTCCAGATATCCCATCGCGTAGTACACCACTACACCATCACTACTTTTATACTTTACTATTATCATGGGGTAAAAGTAAAACGGCACAATTTGACGGTGGTAGGGCCACGCAGCAGCCTCGGCTGCACGAATGGGCAGGCTCGTCCGGGTAAGTACGACGACCTCACAGAAGACCGGCGAAAAGTGGAAGTATAATACTTTTGCGTTTCGTCTGGTGAGTGGGGTAGCCGGAGCCCAGTTTTCAAAAGGTTGTCAACGCATGTGCAACCCTCGGGTGTAGCGGATGTCCATGGGCGGCGGTATTCACTTAACATCAGGTCAACCGTCTGCTCGCTTGACAACTTTTCACATAAAAAATAAAAAGATATATACATGCATTGACGCGGTTTGAATTTATAACAAGGATAAGCTAAAGGCAGTTTAAATATTCTAAAGAATTCGGAATTTACAATAGTAGGTAATTAATTATTTTACTATTAAATATACTGTGCGTACTATTAAACACACATGCACTGATCCTGAAACACTCATGATCTTCGAAATTAACTAATCATCCGTCAAATGGCTTTTAATATCATTATAGTTGCCAAATGGATGGTTAAGCTCTTTGAAATGATCATTCTGATCGCGAAGAAGATCATTCCGATCAATTCATAGAATTAAACCATCCGTTAGGCAACTAAACTAACATTTGAAAAGCCATTTGACAGCTGATTAGTTAATTTCGATCATTTCAGGAACCAGGCATGTGTGTTATTGAAGATAATATTGTGACTGATAGCGACACAAATATTCTAATAACTCTGTAATCAGAATGACATACTTAATGTGAGAGTTGTAGTTACATAATTAAAATAAAAAGAAAATTATCGGACCTATGGAATGTTTAGAGTAAAAAGAAAACACCAATTCCAACAAACACCATTACATAAACATTGAAAATAGATATAGGATTGTAGGAAACTTCCTTACATCCTTTTCATAAGTTACTCAACCAGAAACTGTTTTTGCTTCATAAAACAACAAATTATAGTTGAAAAAACTAAAAAAATTAAATCGATTAATGATAAATCGTAAATAAAATTAATTTGAATATAACATTAAAGTGATTAACCTGAAAATGAATATCCTTGTATCTGTTTCTTTAGTTTTTTAAACTTTAATTTATTGTTATTTTTTAGTTCCCTTCCTCAGGCTTCCATTCCGGAAGGGAATCGCTAATCCTGATGATCCTGGTCGAGATATTGGGACAAAATAAAGTATTGTATCGTCATATACAATACTACGGTCCTTGATAACTGTGCAAAATTTCAAATCGATCTCTCGTTTTGTGGTAGGTGAAAATAGCGCTCGAAGATTCCGTTACAAACATATAGGCGAAGCTAAACAAAAACAAGTTTTTTTAATGTAAAAAGTTGTTTAGCGAGCAAGCGGTTCACCTGATGTTAAGTGAAGACCGCCGCCCACGGACATCTGGTACACCCGAGGGTTTGCAGATGCGTCGACAACCTTTTTCAAAATTGGGCTCCGGCTACCCCGCTCGCCAGACGACCAAAGTATTATACTTCCCCTTCACGCCGTTCTTCTGTGAGGTCGCGGTACTTACCCGGACGAGCCTGGCCATTCGTGAAACAGCCGAGGCTGCTGCGTGGCCCTACCACAGTTTAAAAATCACAAGAGAAACGGAAAACACTCACCGGAGTCTAGTGCGTCCTCCCGTATCTGTTCCTTGGGGTGCTGTTGTATCCCGTGCCTGGTGAGCGGCATGCTCGCCTCGTCACCCGGTTCCAGCTTCAGCATTCTCATCTTCCCGCCGGCGTACTGGGGCACGAAGGCGGACGCCCCCCTCGCCTTTATGTGGGCTATTATCGGCGCCGTGTCTACCTCCTGGTCCGTGCTCATGAATATCGCGATGTTCTTCGCCGTCTTGTAGCTGGGGTGGTTTATAATCTGGAGCGATTGAGAAGAAATTCTTCATGTGTCGTTGGCGCGCCCGTCGGGCATATATTTTGACTAACACATTGGGGTTAGGCTTTTGAGTTAAAACCTGGCTAATTCTGAACTACTCTGCACTACTCTGTACTACAGTACAGAGTAGTTCAGCTAGAGTCTATCTCTATCAGAGTACAGAGCAGTTAGAGCACATATCAGTCTAGCGTGAATTATAGCTAATGCCAGGCCGATATGTGGAGGTAATTCGTTATTATAAATCCAAATCTTTGCCTAGTACGAGTTACAGGTAATGTTCCTACCTCTCAAAATCTAAAATTTCGTTCACATTTTAATTTTTCTTGGAATAGTGGTTTCAAATTAATCGCAATCAAAAATTTTCCAGCTATCAACAAATATATATATTTCCAAACCATGTATGACACTTTCGATAATTCTTGTGGGAATAGAAGAAGAAATTAGATTTTCACACAGGGCTGTTATCGCCGTATATAGTCATATTAGTACTGGAGACTACTCTGAATCCGTTGCCACTGTGTTGCTTAGCCACTGTTGAGTCGAACTTAATTTCTACAGTTTAAGAGGTTAAGTTTTAGTCTTTGATAGAAGTAGATTTACCTTTTCGTAAACGACCTTTGACTGCCTCTTCTTCTCTTCTGTGGAGAGCGCGGCGATCTTAGCCGCCACTTCCTCCCGTATCAAGACCTTGGCTGGGTTGGGTGTGAGACGGCTCATCGTTCTAAATTGACTGAAACAAGACCCTTTAATTTTGCTTCTCAAATGTATTTCAGACCGTTAAAATAGGAAGTTTTTTGAATGAAGGAATACGAAAGATATTATAGGGAGCTTCTATTCTTCGACGTATGTCGAACGACGCATATGACTAATAATCAACTTAATCAAATATGTCTATTTTTTATGTGAAAATTTGCCGAGTAAGCAGGCGTTTTACATGATATTAAGTGATTACCGTCGCCCATGGATATTAACAAAAACCTGATTGTTTGCAGATACGTTGCCAACTAATAAAAAAGTGGGTCCCAGTTACCTCACTCACTAGAAACAAAAGTATACTTCCACTTTACGCCGATCTTCTGCAGGGTCGTTATAAAATTAAAATAGAAAACCAATTTTGTAAAAGTGAATTTGATTGCCACGTTGCTGGCAACCAAATTCACATTTACAAAATTGGCAACACAAACAGCACCGTTACATGCCGATGTAGCCCCACTGCTGGGCAAATGCCTCCTCCGTATACGGAGTGTAATCCGTATAAGGTTATAACCTTCTCTCTAAATAACTCTGATTTGGGTATAGTCCACTAAGCGACGGCAGCGTGGATTGGCGGACTTCAAGTCTTTTCAAATAATGTTTATTTTTATAGATAAATGTTTTCCAACACTTTTGATTACATAATAAATCCGCAATTCAATACAATCGGTACAATTTCTTTAGTCTCAGCATCAGGATTGAACTCAGACTGTTCGACTATATTGAATTAATAGCGAGCGCCCGTACATTGAGCTATCACCATTCTACGAAAAAAGCATAGACAATTAATTGTTCCAAGTAATAGTGAGTAACGTTGGCTTTTTTTTTATTTTTCCGACCATTCTATGCGTATTTATAATAAACAATTAAAAAACCGTGAAGTATATCAAACTAAAGATGATCAATATATAAAATAATTGATTCAATACAATCAATGAAGACTTCAAATACTTTTCCTGAAGATATGCGAAGATTTCTTTCACTAGGCGATAACTATGTGTTATTGTAATTAATATTGAACTTTCCTTGCACCGCCGACCTATTTAATCCCTGCTCACAGGATAATGAAACCAGAAGGGCATATTAACTTAATGTTTCTCAAGATAAAGTTTGTTTGTCATCATTAATTACCGTGGTTAATAGCTGTTCAGATCTTATTATGGATGTGTAATACCTAATTCGATTTCATCCAGATGGTACTTTATTTAACATACAGTAAATCATATACGAAAAAATAAATGCAAAATATAATATTTTCTTACAGTAACATTATATATTATTTATGTATATAAATATTATGCATAAAAATAAACATATACATATAAAAATACACTACATATAATACACATATAAATAGGACCCAACCAGACGGAAGCCCTCGGCAGGGGAGACCAAACGGCCGAGGGTTAGGGTGAAAGGGAGAGAAACCGGCGGACGATGCGGGCAGTATCGAGGAGCACCGCTTTCTGCATTAGAGCTTGAAGCGTTCCGTCCCGGAGTCCCAGTCGCCTCTGATGTCCGGAGAGGCTGGCTGGGATCAACCAACCCATTCGCAGATACGACTATTGGGATAATTTCGGTCGGCACACCACCCCACATGTCGGTCACCTCGTGAGCCAGGTCCAGATACTTCGTCTTCTTATCTGTTTCGGCTTTCACGAGGTTCTCGTCATATGGAATGGTAATGTCGACCAAAAATACCCGCGACTGTGCCCGGTCCATCAACACGATATCAGGTTTGTTCGCGACAATCGTCCTGTCCGTGATGATGGACCGGTCCCAATAGAGCCTGGCGCGGTCATTTTCGAGCACGGCTTCCGGAGAGTACTTATAGTACGGCAGTTTCCGTTCCACCAGGCCGTATTTCAGAGTGAGCTCCTGGTGTAGAATTCTGGCTACTAGGTTGTGTCTATGCAGATACTCAGAGTTAGAAAGCATGGAACAACCGGAGATAATATGCCGAAGTGACTCCCCGGGATGGCGACAAGCTCGACAGATGTCGACGGTGCCATCCCTTAGGATGTATCTCCGATAGTTGTTCGTCTTAATAACCTGATCCTGTATCGCACAGACAAAACCTTCGGTTTCCCCAAAGAGGTCACCGAAACGTAGCCAGTTAACGCTAAGTCATCCGCTCGCCTAGATGACAAAGGATCGTACTCCATTGCCCCATACAGTGCTCGAGGAAGTCTCTTACTGTACAGTCTACTTTGTACAGTTCGAGGACCCTTTTTAGCCATGTATGGGGCACCGAGTCGAATGCCTTTTTGTAGTCTATCCAGGCGGCGGAGAGGTTCCGACGGTTGCGTTTAATCGTTTTGCCAATGACCGCGTCGATGAGAAGCGGTTCCTTGGTTCCACGACCGCCGCCCCGACATCCATTCTGAGTACGAGACATAATCCGATTCACATTAATATGCCGGGTGATTCTCATACTCAGAATAGATGTCAGTGTCTTATAGATGGTAGGTAGACACGTAATGGGGCGGTACTTACTCGGGTCTGTGGTAACCTGATCTTTAGGAACCAAATGAGTGACCCCAGTAGTAAAGAGGCTCGGGAGCGACCTCTGATCGAGAGCCTCTTGGAACTGTCGGGCGAGCACAGCATGACGCACCACGAACCCATTCAGCCAGTAGTGATGCAGCCCGTCGAGTCCCGGACTTTTCCAGTTCGGGGCTCTACGGACTGCCTCAGATACGTCGTCGGGTGTTATGACGACGGGGTCCATGGGTGTAATGTCTGCACATTGACTCGCCACGACTTGTATCCAAGGGCCCTCACTGTGGTCTACGGGCTCTGACCACAGGCTGCGCCAGAAGGCGACAGTGTCTGCCTGGTCCGGTCCTTGGCCCGTTCCACAACTCATTGGTCGCTCCAAAGATTTGTAGAGCCTCTTTTGGTCACTCTGGAAGAGGCGATTCGGGCTAAACCGCGCCGTCCTCTCGGAATATCTCCGAATCCGCTTCCCCCAAGCAGCGATCCTCTGCTTCAGTTCATCTATACGCTCCGTTAGTTTTTGCGTAATGTCCGGCTGGGACAAGTTGATGTTGGTCCCAGCGAACGCCATCCTAACGGTGCGCACAATTCTGGGCCTATTATTGCCCGACCTGAAGCTTATCAGCCTGCCGATGATGGCCCATACCTTTGCGATACGGTCCTCAATTCTTCTTCTCCATGCTGGGATAGTGCTACCTGGTCTAGTAGCACGTCCAGCCTTGGGAAGTTTGGCGCCAACGATTCGGCATACTGCCAGTGCAGCGCCAAAGAGAATTGAGTCCGTATCGCAAAGATCCCGCCTAGCTTCCAAATAGATTGCCAGCATCTGGTTAAGAGACCTCACGACAGACCGACTCCGCTTACTTAGGGGTATGCGGGGGAGACTTGGTCGATTCTCGAGAGGCGTTATTATTATTATTATTTTATGTGAAAAGTGTCCAAGCGAGCAGACGGTTCACCTGATGTTACGCAGTGAATACCGCCGCCCATGGACATCTGCTACACCCGTGGTTTGGAGATCACCACGGCCGCCTCACTCACCAGACGAACCGCGACAGCAATTTCTAACGACCCATCATCTGTAGCTTTGAAAAGCGAAGATTTATTAGCACGTAGAATATTTTCTCATACATGAGCTGGCGCACCCTAATAACAGCTCCTTTAAACGTAGACTGCTAGAATCGTCGACGACCAGTTCCTTTTGCACAATAAAAAACAAAACTGCTTCAACTAAATCTTCAAGTCGTGTGAAAAGGAAATAAATAAAATAATACTAATGAACAAGTACGAGTATTTATCACAGTTTTCTTCAGCTTGATATCGCTACATTATTATAACAGATATTAGTTTATTTTTAAATTTTCAAAGTATGAATGCCAGCATTGATGATCAAGAAGGTATTATTTTCCTCCTGATGTCCTTACACTAGCCTGGCCACAGCTTTAAATGCTTTTTAAAGGTAAACCACGATATCAGTATTGATCCGGTTTCACAATTGTCTATTATTATAATGTTTCGTGTGCAAATCATGATCATAAAATCAAAATAAAACCTTTTTAATGAATTTGTTTCATAGGTCACCCGGTGTTTTATAAGTAAAAGTAACTAAATACACAGAAATTTTGTGATTTCATATTTTTACGCGAATACCACATCTTGTTTCAAATAACTTTGAAGGATTTTTCAATATACTTTGAAGGATTTTTGTTTTTCGTATGTATGTTTAATTCCCATGTGTCGGACCGTCCATTGTCGTAACATGCCATTCGAGGGAAATATGTAGTAGTTCACGTCAGCGTCTTCGTGTTATATTAAATATATAAAAATATTTTATAAGGCATTCGTTTGGAATAATTATTAGAATAAGTATTCCAATCATTTAATTTTACTCTATCAGGATTGTCGGAAGTAGGAAACGCCAATATTCATTTTAGTAAATTACATAACTCAGTGTATTTAACTTTTATATATAAAAACATTTAAATTGTAACTTATAACATTTTTTTTCTACCCAAGTATATCGAAGTCCCAATTTAAAAAACTTTACATTGATTTTTTAATGGAAGTATGATTTTATTGTAAGAGACTAGGGCAGAGTAAGATAGTTGAAACACAGTTACAGGGTTCCGTACGAGACCTTAACGAATACACTGACAAGAAGCCGAGATCATATAATTTTCATTTAGTTCTGGGCTTTGGTTAAAATAACAATATAAATAACAAGACCTTAACGCAACGTTATTTTAAAATCAACCAAAAGTTTGTAGTGACATAAAGGTTGATAATGAAAATAACAGCGTAGTAAAGGAAAAAGTAATAGAAAGAGACAAAAAACTTAATTTTTTCTAGCAGTAATAACAGTAAAAAACCTTAAAGACAAGCAAACAGAACTAGTAAAGACTCACCACGAAAGTACTCTTGTGATAACGAGGGACTGTCGTATCTTCATTCAGCTGTTATAATATACTGTTATCGTAGTAAATGTAACCCAACAACGGTGGTCACGCTTCAACAACGTGGTTTAGCAATTTGAAAAAGCGCCATCTATTTAGTTATTTCTAAACTAAAAGAGATGTATTGTTGATATCTTTTGATGTGTTCGCTTAGTTATAGTCAGCTCTTGTAGATGGCAGTGGTGCTGGCTTTGCTGTTTTAAACAAAATAATTTATGTATACTGTAATGCAGTATACATAAATTTTCAATTTTCTTCAAATTTTCCAAACAGCCAGTTTGAATGATAGAATAAAATTTTAATTTAATTATCACACTTGGATAATAATACTCAATACTGTGCTCCTTTAAAACGTGGATGTCAGATACGAATACAAACATTTTAATTATTATTATGTTGGGTAAAAATATGAAATTTTGGATTATGGTCAATTATTATTTTTATGTCACCGTTTATGTTAAGAGTGTTGCGAAGCGTTGGTAAGCGATGAAAAATAATACAATATTTTAAGAGTGACAAAATTTAGTTTTTGTATTCTTGCGTTTTAGTTACAGTTAGTATACAGGTTGATTTTTTAGACGGAGTAGATATTTTTACATAATGTTAACTGATAATTCCATAATTCAAAAAAAGTATTAATATTTTATTTTGATAAGAAATAATCAGAAAAATATCAATTCAAATATTGTTTGTTTATCCGGTTAAGAGTGGTCACCCTATCGATAAACGGTTTAGTAATTATGCGTTCAGCGAACAGTTTTAGTGCTCATGAACAGGTTATTGTATTAAGACGGTAAGGCAGGAATTTCTAAAATGTTTGAAAAATTAAAAATAATATAAAAAAATGAGGTCACAAGTACGTACCAGATTCAGATTTAGAATCAAATTCTGCATATTATGCTCTGTTAATATGTCCGTCGTCTATAAAATCACCCTGTATATTAAAGTCTAAAGCGATGCATCATTGCAAACGGGCCCAGCATGGTTAGAAGTCTGGCTATATTTACTTTGTTAGATTATTTATCATCCATCATGAAAGATTGACGATGGCATGCCATGCATGAAAAGTTTGCGAAAACTATAAGGAACATTGTCCGGGGCTTAAAATTATTCACTATAAATTTACTACACTAGAAAATTATTCATGTCGATTAAGAAAAATATGGGAAATAACCTTTATTTTTGGAGAAGTAGTTGTGAAATATTTATAGTTAGCGATATTTTCGCGTTCTGTCTTAATTACATCTCAATTTATAATTAAGATAGCATGCCTTCTTGTGACGTATAGTTATTCTAACTATATACTAACACCACTAATGATTTTTGGTGTCACGAATTACGGCATTATATTGTGCCATATAGCTCACTGGACGCTTAACCCGAATACCGTAGGTTCAAATCCCGCAGCAACGAATATTTTTGGTCACTTTAGAAACTAAAAAAAAATCACATTTAAAGTTCAACCGTTACGACTAAATTTTAAGTTAGACACAACTGCTTTAGTTTGCTGATGATTCCAGACGCTTGGCTACAAACTCGCCTAGTTGTAAGATAATAAAGATTTTGAGTCTGAAATTTGCTATCAGTTGCGAATAGAGCTTGGTTTTAATTGTAATTCCAGTACATACTCAGCTGGTTTTTACTTTCCTGTACTGTATACTTGTATAGCGAATCTGTAGAAAAAATCACATATCCCCAAAATATATACGTATATATCTAATATGATCAAACATTATCAGTATAATATTTAAAACTAGCTGACTTGGAACATCTTGTTTTGCCATATAAATTATTTCTAGAGGAATCAGAACGCACGCCTCAAGTGTTTGACAGGTTACACAGATAAGTTAACAGGTATAAGGTACAGTTTGTATGGGAAAATAAAATTGTTGCTATTTTGATTTTCTATGTAATCTTTCCATAATTTCTCATCGTTTAAACCTTCTCTGGACTGGCACAAATATTTCAAAATCAAAATTAGACAAATCGGTCCAGCCGTTCGCTAGTTTTAGCGAGACTAACGAACAGCAATCCATTTTTATATATAAGATTGTTCATTCAATCAAAATCAATCAATCAAAAATCTTTATTCAAATAGACGCTTGCGCGTTCTTATGAATCGTCAAATTTTTCATAAAAAATTATACATAGAGGTTCGTAAGGTACCACCGTAAATTGTGATGAATGAAAATGATTTTTTTCCACCGTTTGTGGTGGCGTACATCATCTGGAGGGCTGCAGATGCGGTGCCAGCCTTTATCAAAGCGGATCTATACTGCCATCTCAAAGAGAGCTAGCCAATTGATTCAACGGCAGACTGCATAAACCTACTGTAGTGGAATGAGCTTTTGTCTTTATATTTTACCAGCCGTTAGACCGCGCTCCGGCTTATTTATGGAGAATCTACTCGATTACGGCTCGCGTTGCCTCATTACGGTGTTCGGAAGAGCGTTAACGCGTTAACAATGCACGAGATAAGATCGAGAGGGAGATAAGCAAGGCCTCGCACGAACCACGCCGTGTGATAACGTCCGTCACTTCACACCGTTTCGAGGAAGTCTCGGTTTTTACGTGCCGTAATGATACATTGAATTTTCTCCTCTTTACTGCCCTTATTCCACTTAAGTGGGGTCGGCGCAATATACGAATCGTGTTGTTACTGTTACCGGCAGAGTTTTTAACGACCCGCCGCCTGACTCACACTCACGTCAAACTTCGTTCTTGAGTTCGTTCCTAACGAACACACTGATCAGAAAAAAATGTCTGTGGGTCGCACAAATATTTACCCAGTGTGTGAATCCCATCGATAAACCGACGACCCTCAGCACCGCAGCCAATAGCTTAGCTGCTCCTAGTAGTCATGAAATATCTTAAATAAAGTACCATTATAGGATATACGCCTTCAATTTGGCCGTAGCCGCGAATAGCGCCCCGTAAGCGGCTGTTATACAAAGTGGGAATTTATTTAATTTATTCATTTTGTTAATTCATTGTTATTTATTTTGTTATGCAAAGAGGGTTTTTAATTAGTCGTTTAGAATTAGATATATTTTATACTTTGTAATATACGACTTTAACCCTCCGACGATTCTTGTAATTAGCGTGTAAACTAACAACCTTTCTTGAACGTAATGAAATTGATTGACGCGAAAAATATTCCAAACGAAATGCAAATTATAAAATTGATTTCCGCCGCTCATATACGCGTCTTCTAGTACGCGCTCAGACTCTATAAACACTAAGCTAAACGGCTGATTGCCACGTATTTTATTTACTTTATTGCTTGTTTTCAGTGTGGCACATCCTTAATTTTAATTAAAGTAAAATATCAATAGCTTACATTTCAATTCTTATTTGTTCCCTATTTGATAACTAGCGACCCGCCCCGGCTTTGCACGGGTGCAATGCTGAATGTTTTTTTTTGACATCGCATTAGAAACCTCTAAAATTATCAGTGTTTCTCTACTACATTATGCATGAATTATACATATAAACCTTACTATTGAATCACTCTAGCGTAGTTACAAAGTTCTAAGCATATATAAAGACAGACAGACAGGGGGACGTCTTTGTTTTATACTATGTAGTGATTAATTTAAAGCTATCGCCAACCTAAACTTTGGACTAATTGTCAAACGCTCATGTCATAGCTAAATTTTCAACTTAGCATTTTCCTGAATGATAACTTGTTGTAACGTTAATTAAATACATTGTTAGGCAAAACTATTTGTACGGCTTCAGTCTTCGATATATTGTAAATTCCAAAAAGTTTGTATCTTTGTTTTTAAACTCACGGAATAATGCCCGATTTGTACGTAGTAAGCACTTACCTAAATTGTAGTTAAAATTTAACTCAATCCATACGTCTGAACAGCCAGTAGCGGCAGACGGCATAAACGAACCCCCAACTATTTGCTTTTTGTTTTCCGCTTTTTGTTCCCGAAGTACCAGGGGCACAGTGCTGCGGGGAGTTCGATTAAATATTTATCGGCATTTATGGCTGTTGACCGCCCGTGGTATCAAGATTTTATGCGCTCCTTATGTATCGCCCAAACCAATTAATGGTTTAAAAGAAATATTTAGCCAATTTGTGTGGAAAATTATGTGTGGCTTTTGTAACCTAGACAAGGTATGCTTGATGTAGCGACTACATTACGGGTTAATATATTCCACTGTATTAAACGCAGGTGCGATCTATTAGGTAGTTGGAATTTGTAAATCGGCTGTAATGATGTTGAAAGATACAATAACAATCACGAATTGATAAAAAAAATTGTTTGATGTTTGACATTCGCACAATGGGACGCTTTACGCTTGAAAAAAATATATAATTCTTCGTGCTGTAGTTGCCCAGTGCGCGCGGAGATCCATTAAAAATCTACTAGCCAACGTTCTTAGGAATTTAACTCTTTCGCACTTGTGGGAAGAACAAGATAAAATAAAGACTTCGATATAAATGCTTTTAAAAAAATACGAAACTGAAGTTCGAATCACCTCACGACCAAATCATGCGTTTTCGTTTCGCCCAAAAAAATAGGCTGAATATAGCTTGGCCGAAAATGACCACTTACGGTTTAAAGAAGTTTATTTCTAATAAAAATTAAAACAGTTTGTTTAAAACAAGATTTGAATTTAAATTTCATTATCAAATATTGTGTTTACACTTCTGGCACATGCATTTTTAAATAATATTAAAATTATTATTAGGTAGTATTAAATATTTTTTTTTACAATATAATACTACGGTGGTAGGGCCACGCAGCAGCCTCGGCTGTTGCACGAATGGGCAGGCCCGTCCTGGTAAGTACCACGACCTCACAGAAGACCGGCGTAAAGTGGAAGTATGACAAATACTTTCGCGTTTCGTCTGGTGAGTGAGGTAGCCGGAGCCCAATTTTCAAAAGGTTGTCAACGCATCTGTAACCCTCGAGTGTAGCAGATGTCCATGGGCGGCGGTATTCACTTAACATCAGGTGAACCGTCTGCTCGTTTGACAACTTTTCGCATAAAAAAAAAATTTGAAGTTAAAATTTAGTGTGTGAGTACAAAAGTTAAGTAGAATTAGAAACCCGAAAAAACCCCAAACCCGTGGGTTCTGGCTAGCCCACCGGTTCCGTGTCAGATGAAGTTTTAATAGTCTCGGGACTGAAAGCACAAACATCAGTTAATACAAGATACAAGATAGAATTAGAGCTTATCCGTTAAGTTCAAGGGCCTCTTTAAAATTTTGGACCTTTATTGTTTAGTGAAAATTTAGTTCTTGTTAGTTGATGTGTTTAGTCGGTTTTTTGAATATTACTTAGCTGCCCTAGCCACTCCTTATAATTTTTTAGCAAAATCTATATACTTCCAGACATAGTCGTCTCTCTCGGTCAATCCAAAGGGGTTGATTAAAGTTTAGCGTATGTTTATATGGACAAATAAGTAGAAATTTACTTAACCGTTTATGGATTAAATACGTAAATTGGCCATAAACACTCAACATAAGGCGAATAGCTCGTACGTGTGCCGCATTATCTCGTAATAAGATAGATACTGTTGTATGCAGTAAAGAAATTTTGTTGGTTATACGCATTGCGGTTGAAAGTTCGGACGGCATGTGTCTAACTGGGCCAATCAATTATACTGATAATCAATTAACCGAAAGGCGTGCTTTCTGGTTTAAAGGAGCGGTGACTGTGTCTGCAGTAGGTTCTGGGCTCGGTTGCTTTCTTATTGATGCACTATCTCGACCGTTTGACATCTGAAATGACTTACTACAATAATTATTATTTAATTATTCGTTTTCGGTGGTAGGACCACGCAACAGTGTTCGCTGTTGCACGAATGGGCAGGTCCGTCCGGGTTAGTACCACGACCTCACAGAAGACCGGCGTAAAGTAGAAGTGTTGCACTTCTGCGTTTCGTCTGGTGAGTGAGGTAGCCGGGGCCCATATTATTAAGGGGTGGCAACGCATGTGCAAACCTACGGGTGTTGCAAATGTCCATGGGTAGGCGGTTATCACTTAACATCAGGTGAACCGCCAGCTCGTTTGCCACTTTCTCACATAAAAAAAAAAAATCAACCATAGTTGTTAAATTGAATTTAACAATAGTTGTTAGGTAAGATCTTATGATTGTAATGTAAGATCTATAAGCGAATCAAAGAACACAGATTCCTTGTAATGATGATCCACAAGGATCATTGGGTGCCTCAGTTTAATTAATAAATTAAATTTTATTCTAGTTTATATTTTATTCGGAATATATTAAAACGATGAGCCATGTTATTTAATTAAAAATATTACTTTAAATGAACTGTTTTCTTGAGATTTTCTATCATGTAAACTAAGAAGAATATCTATTATTCAACGGCTGTTATTATTCAACGGTGGTAGGGCCACGCAGCAACCTCGGCTATTGTACGAACGGGTAGGCTCGTCCGGGTAAGTACCACGACCTCACAGAAGACCGGCGTAAAGTGGAAGTATAATACTTTCGCGTTTCGTCTGGTGAGTGAGGTGGCTGGAGCCCAATTTTAAAAAGATTGTCAACGCATCTGCAAACCCTCGGGTGTAGCAGATGTCCATGGGCGGTGGTATTACTCAACACCAGGTGAACCACCTGCTCGCTTGGCAACTTTTCATATAAAAAAAGCTGTGGACCGTGGTCTCAATAAAACAAATTCATTGCGTTAACAAGACCTGTTAATTCGCCCAGATGTGAATTATCACCAATAGACGAGCTAACGATACGAACATTTTCATCTACGTGAGTGAAATGTACTAAAAATGAATGTTTTAAAGCGTACATTTTCTTGAGGCGATTCCAGATAATAACACAACATAAAGATTAATTACTTCATTAACGTCGTTAAGTTAATAAAGGCGAGGTGCGTTAATGTGGTGCCGGCTCTGAAATCCATTGTTTTATTCACAGCTCAAGGGCCGTGACGTCATACTGCGTAATAACCGGGAACGGTTGAACAAAGTTATGCATTCAAATTGTTAGATTACTTATGAAACAGTGGCCACTTGGTGGCGCGAATTTTTTAACTGAACTGAACTTTCAGTTTCAGTGATTTCTTTCTTCCAAAACATAGGCTCATCACCAGCCACTTTTGGGGCTCAGTAAAGTTAATGAAGACTGAATGGTCATTTCTGTGCACCGCGTTAGCTTTGAGACTGGAGAACGAAGTTCGGTGACATCCAACTATTTTAGTATTTGAGCGCTCGACTAATAAATAAACCGGCCAGGTGCGAGTCGCACTCTCGCGACGAGGGGTTCCGTACCATTATCTATACAAGTGTGTGTCCCACTTAAATATTTTTTATTCTGTTTTTTACTATTTGTTGTTATAGCGGCAACAGAAATACATCATCTGTGAAAATTTTAACTGTCTATCACATGATATACAGCCTGGTGACAGACGGACAGACAGACATGGTCTTAGTAATAGGGTCCCGTTTTACCCTTTGGATACGAAACCCTAATAAAAACAGTTGAGCGATAAGTTTTAATCTCGATAATGAAACCGACGAAGTGTCAATTGTGACTTTAAGAGCCGAGTGGAAAAAGTAACAAACACGATATCCGTCAATCCAAAATGAGAGAATGTGACGAGGTCCTAACGCAAATGGGTGTAGAGGCGGCATTTGCTCAGCTGTGGAGTATCGGTGAGATTTTAATTACTTTCCGACGCCTCAAAAGTAATTAAATATTAGAAAAAACAAAAGATTTTTTCTCAGAAAGCGTACACACAAATGTTAGTATTTTTATAACATAAGGAGCGTGCGATGTTCTACAGACGGACTAGTTGGTTTATCGGTGTGTAATCAATGTACAAACATTTGAAAAGGAAATTACGGTTTCTTTCTTGCGGTGAAATTTCACATGTTGTGTATATGTTATTCCACTTTCGTTCCATATTTAAAAATTGTTTTCTGAATATCGCGACGCGCCTTTGGGCTTTTAGACGCAATTTTTAGTTTCGTAACATCGCATTCCGTTCTTAGACATTACATTTCAGGACTTAATGAAGTTAATGTATCGAGCCCGTAGATAGTGAAAAAGCGTCTCAATTTTTGTCTAATAGCTACAACTAGTATTTGTGCTACGAGAGGGGTGCACCAGTGTTGCCGGCTTATTATAACAGAATATGCTTCAAGTTTTGAAACACAGATGGTATTTTTCTATAAGAAACGGGCCATTGTTTTACTTTTTTCCTTTTCAGGGTCGATCCGAGGAATATTCAATAAGAATATCCCTCGGATCGACATGTCCGTTATAAATTGCAAATACTATTTAAATAATGTAAATTCGTTTTTGGCTATAATTTAAGATCATAAGATGTACGTACGATGTAACAAAAAGCTGTGGATTTTCTTTGAAATAAAATAAAATAAAGAATATACATACATTGCCACTAATTTTATACAAAGTAAATAAAAAATCTATGTTATGTCATGCATATTGAAGTAAAATTAACATATTTATTTCTAGGGATAAGAGCCGCCTTCATCAAAAACCATTCGACCGGTTTTTAATCGCAATGATTTATTCGAACAGTGTTTTAATTGACCGACTTTTAATAAAAAAATAAAAATAAAAACAATAACCACAATAATATTATCACGTTTAACAACAATACACCATAATAATCGATCGCACGCTTGTAAGTTGAGAAAATCATTAATCTTAGGTTAAGGTCTTAGAGAGTGAGTTCGGACGGAATTTCATATCTGGTAACAATTTGCTAAATGCTGAATTACCAGTAGAAATAGAATGCTTTCATGATTATACATAAAGTATTTTGCCCTTTGTGGAAGGTCGTTGGTACAGAGATATGAAATGCTACCATTCGACTCTATGGTTGTTTTGTTGTCCTCTTCGGACCTCCATAGCGTTACTATCCAGGTATGAGTCATTGTTTTAACGCAACTTATATGCGATGTGAATATAAAAACTTTTTTAATCAAGCCTTTCAGAAGTTTTACAACTCTACATTACCGATGAATCTTTATAAATTGAGCTCTTAATTATATATAAAGTTAATTTATTCAAGCAATATTAATTTAGATAACGGATTTCAGCAGATCTTAGCAGTTATCGATGTGATATATTTCTCAATATTTTCTTTTACAAATTGATCAAATATCCTGCTACGCCGAGCCTACGCCGTTTTCCACATTTTAAGCTCAAGATAAAAGAACTTGATATTTTTTGCGACAGGGATAGATTGAAATTTACTTCGAGATGTTCACTTTACATAATTTACCCTTAAGCCAACGTCACGTAGACGTTTCGACAAATTTTCACAGATGATGTATTTCTGTTGCCGCTATAACAACAAATACTAAAAAACATGATAAAGAATTTTTAAGTGAAAATTCCCCCCAGTCCCGTACAACAGACATGATTTTTTTTGCCGTTTTTTATAGATAAAAGCTGCTGTCAGCTCGAAAGAACTGACTTAAAATATTTTTTACTTTTTTTTCTTTTTTTTTTACATTGGGCAGTAGGTAGGTAGGTACAAAGTAGGGGACTTTAGGATAGGCCCTCGACGCCGAAGTCAATACATTGGCAACTGCGTCACGCAGTCATCAAATACCTAAACTAGCCTTAAAAAAAATACTATCTCATGACACATTTAGGGGAAACATAATGTTGTTTTTTTCTCGTTACCTCAACGAATTTATGCTATTCAGTTAAATGGGTATTGCGAAATAGCTTCAGGTTAATCGTTAATAATTTTTGGCGAGCCTGGAAGGAATTTTTTAATAAATTTTTTGATAGTTTGAAAAATTTCACCGTCATTTTGCGCTTTTTAATTTGGTTTCATGACGCTATGTAGAATCCCGATGGTTCCACGAAAATAAAGAATCGCGCTCTCTGCGATCGTATTGCAGGTTTTAACGGTCGCTTAGCTTTCAGGAGGGTTTTTAAGCAGATTGCAAACTGCTGTAAAACGGAGTAAAAATGAAAAAAAAAAAAAATATTCCTTTCGGTTACTCGTTCCAGTTTGCTGGTACAAACTGGGTTGATGTACAAAATGGAGAAATTCTTGCCAATCACAATTTCATTCTAACGTCATGTGTTGAATAAGGGTTTGTTTTTAATCAGAGATGAAATACGCCATTCACAAAATGAAGCGTTAATTAAAAATTAAAGCGTCTTCAATGGAAAGAAATGATTTAGTAGATAGTGGAATTTTTAACTAAGACGAGTGAAATTAATTTATTCAATAATGAAACGTTAATAGCTCGTGCTTAACTCTAAATAGTAATTGTATGTGATGTTAAAGGAACTTTTGTCAAATAAAACTAATTTACTGATTATCCATAAATTAGTTTTATTTATATATAGAGATAGTTTGTTTATTCGTCGTCTTCATCAGGCATATGCCAGTATATACACGATGGGAATGTTTAGTCAGGGAAATCATTTATTTAGCTGAGCCACTGAGACTCGAGCTACCTTTAGCAACGCTTCCACGTATTTTAATTAGCGAGCATACATTAATCTGGGCTTTAAAACCCTTAAACCGCGTTTACCTTCAAGAAATTGTGCCATTACTTTGAGCAGTCAAAGTCGTTTTATCAACCGACTTCAGAAAAAGGAGTACGTTCTCAATTGGACTGTTTTTTTTAAATGTTTGTTATCTCAGAACTGTAGTGAACCGGCTTTGATGATACTTTTTTTTTAAAACTGGTGCTTTCCATGTTGTCGCACATTAATTTCATTGACATTGGCCCTTGGGCTCCGGAGATACTTAGGTAACTCCAGAAAATCAGTTATGAAGTGAATAGAGTGCGATACCGTTGTTCCCTGCAGTTGGTCGAATTGCTATACCGGAGAGGGAAAAGACAGGTAGAGGCAATCAATTCCAATCAATTCAGCAGCGAAATCCGCTAATTTACGAAACTTTACTGTATTGAGATTTAATGTTGTAAATATTTCTTTGTTCAATGAAATTAAAGTATAATAAAAGTAAAATATTAACATAATATTAATAATTATCTAAAGAATAGTGACAGACATAAACTAAATACTAGAAATGAGGACAATCTAACTACGCCATTGTTTCGTCTACTAAAAGTAAACAGGTCATGTATAATAAAATCCCACAGTCGATATTTAGTCTGCCACTTGATGAATTTAAACGAAAAGTAAAAAGTAAACTTATGGCTAAATCATATTATACTATTGCTGAATATCTCGACGACGCCAATGTTTGGGGTTAGTACTGTTGATATTCACGTAGGCTGAAACAGGACTATTATACCTGTAACATTATATTGTAAACTGCCTTTTAAAAAAGAGCAACTGTTCAGTTTCTTCTCAACAGAAACTGCTTTCCGAACCGGTGGTAACTTACGAACATATTAATTTCCTTGTAAAATTTCGACGTTTCATAGGAGCGCGCAAGCGTCTATGTGAATAAAGATATTTTATTATTATTATTATTATTAAAAAAGATTTTTTAGTATGAAATGTTGTTATTGGGCCATAAGTCTAGTACGGTATATGTTTTTTTTTTTTGTAAATCGAAAGTCTTCTATCGGCCGGTTTCAATATTCTATCTACAGATAGATTTGGTTACTAGCGATATGTAGGTATTTGACATTACCTGTATAATACTTACGTCAAAATTTTATCTTCAGTAACCAAATCTATCTGTAAATAGAATATAGAAACCAGTCGTATTACATGTAATACAAAGAGTTAGTTGAACTATTATAACTTTTTAATTTTTTTTTTTTGACGATTTTTACCGAGTCCCGTCCGTTTCACGGTCTTATGCTGCAACACAGACCGTCACTTACTGTTATTATTTTGTTTTTTGTGTAGTTACATTATTATTTTTAAGTTTTGTATGTATTCATTGTTTTTAGACCGTGAATAAACGTATCTTCTTCTTCTTCTATATATAAAATAATGATTTTATACTTTCCGAGGGATTAGCCTTAATGCTGAAATAGTGTATTCATCATCTATGCTTAAGTCACCACTTACCAAGAAGTAAAAGTGTTCAAGATTGGATAACATAATGAGTAAGTGTTGCAAGTTCGCCATGTTTTGTTCGACTGCCGAAGGAGTATGTGTTTCGACCGTATGCGTATATGTGAGAATGTATGTATGCTGTGGCACGCTTGTAATATATGATATGAGTTGTCGTTTGATTCGTGGGAATCTATATTATAAATTCATCAGTTGTGGGAGTGACAAAATCAGAGGTATATTTAGTATTGTGAATGCAGTGAGGTTATTTGTTTCATTTAACAATCTATGCTTGCTGTTTGCTATTTCGAATAAGAAAAGTTTGAGCGATGTGTCGGGATCGCTAAATCAAACTAAATTATTTCTCGTTTAATACGAGACGGGAAACGAGACTTGTTGATAGCACTTATAGACGTCGAGAAGTTAACGGATTTAGATTTCATCCAGATAAGTCGAAAAGAAATTCGTACCTCAACACACATTCTTTAAAACAATAGGATCGGTATAAACACTGTAATAATCAGAGGACATACGATTGCAGTGTAAAAGTTACTGAGGAAATAATGATCATGATCAAATATGTCGAAATGTACCTAGCATTAATGATAGGTACATTTTGAAATGTTTGAGCGAACGTATTAGACTCTCGCTAAGCAAACGACGGTTATGTTAAACACAAACAACCATCCCTTCTAATCCGTTTGACTTCCGAGCACAATAATGTCGTTAAGATAATCTTCTGACAGAAGGGGCAAGTTCAAAGGGATGGTTAAAACTTAGGGGTGAAGCTTGTTTTATGATTAGGGTAAAACAACTCTAGACTTACATCGATGTAGACAGTCTTAATTGGTTGTTAAGTAACGGCTGTGATTGTTTAAATTAAACTTGCACTTATAAGAATTTTGATAAGAACTGGTTCATTGTGAACATTTAGAAATATCTAGAATATTGCAAAAAAATTAAGCTTCAATGTATATATATATTCAGCGTAATCCTAGAGCCCATGATTTTTTAATGTCTTCCTTCTCTTTCTACACTTTTTTATGTCTTCTCTTTCTCTACTATTGAATTGTGGCACTCTACTACAGTTAACAGTGCCTAGGGAAAGAACAGCCAGATCCCGTGGATCACAAAAATTCTTGTCCTGTGGGGGAATCGTACCTATGATCCCCACACTAAACCCATCAGTTGATCAACTGCGCGACCTATGCAATGCAATCAATGGGTTGGATAATCTGACTGTTTTTTACATTCAAAACCTGTGTCTGACGTCCGGTTTCTGAAACACTGATCACCTTAGAAATTAACGAAACAGCTGTCACATGTCATTTGAGTTGCCAAAAGGATAGTTAAACTGTTTGAATTGATCATTCCTGATTCCTTATCATTATTACTGGTCAATTCAAAGAGTATCTGACGGCTGATTAGTAAATTTCTACGATGATCAGTGTTTCAGAAACCGGGCGTGAGTCTAGAAGGCTTCCATAACTTACTAAAGTACCGTTTCATTAATGCTTATTACTCTTGGTCAAAGATATACAAAATAATTTGGCACAATGTTGGCGTTATAACCTAGAAGCGACCCGTTCGCGCCTACAGAATGCTGCATTCGATTCGGCCAACGGCGATCTCAAGAGGTCCCTTTGCGCCGGTTTACGGCATCTTTACGATCCTGACGACCCGAAGGTGTGGCTGCAGGCAGGGCTCCCGTGCGGTGTTCTTTGTTTAGCACGAGGCAGGGGGCGCCTCTGTCCGCCGGCCGCTCGGGCCTGCGTTAGTCGGGCAGCGTGCGCCGTCGGAACAGCACGTCACCGCGCCCCCTCGCCGCAAAACTTTCTTACGTCAGTTCAATGGATATAACCTAACAAGTCGCGAGTTTCACCCGCCGAGCTGCGATTAAAATGTGAATATTGGAGACGCGAACTGCACCAGGTTAGCATAAGCGTTTCCCGAAGTATATGTGTCGTTGTGCCGATGATGTGAATTTATAGAAGTGCCCCGTTCCGTGTTGAAGTTGGAAGAGAAAGAGGAAAATTAGCAAGAATGAGCATCCAAAAGTGCCTGTTGGATAACTCCAGCAGGATGATAAAGGCCATGTCGACCGCGAAGTCGAACAATAGCGATGTGAAAACGGTGAGTGATTAGCAACGCCATTGTTTATGAACGAATTCCGTTTCTGAAGCGTTCAACTTTATAGGTTATCTTTCCCTAACTGTAGCAACTCCAAAGGTTAACAGCACGTGAGCCTATTATTGGTTATAATTGACGGCTCAGATGACTGTTATTGGCTATAAATCGACTACTATATTGACGTTGGCGATAGGGCCTTAGTTTGCGTGCGAATATTGTTGCACTCCGGTGAATATCAACGTTTGTATAGTACGGAAATTGTGTTGTTTTGACGTGAAGCATACGATGTTGTGGACATGAAAAAAATTGGCGCTCCATAAAGAATGTATATGAGAGCTCTAAAACACGTAAACCGTTTGGTTACTCACAAGGCATTAAAATATAATCCGGTACAGAATATGCATTTATAATGTTAAACTTTTTTAGGGTTAATATTTTTTTACATTATTCTCGATTCACATTTATCTATACTTCTAACTTGTTGATTCGTCGTGATATCATTTAGCATTTATTATTTAGCAAGCTAAATATATATTTTCTAAGTTCAATGTTATGTTAATATATTAGGTATATAAGCTAAATTAAAATGACTCGACATAATGATATTGTATTGATTATTGTAAAAGAAAAATTATTGCAAATGGAACAAATAAGGGAGATATTTGTTTGAATGTTTTAGAGGCGATTATTATAAATTATGTTAAACAAGAGCTCAAATATTCCCATTCAATATGCTCTTATAAATCAAACATTTCAGCTTCAAATCTGTTCGAAATGAAACATGCGTCATTAATTTTACAGACTTTATTTGATTATATCATGATATAGATTTTAACTATTGCTAACGTAATAAATTGAAAACATAATATAATGATGAATAGATCAACGATAACTCTTGTTCGTACATTGTAATACTCGAAAATACTATAATTTAGTCGACGATGAGCTTATCGTCCAATGTGTGCGAGCCGTTTAAACATTGTGGGTAATTTATTTTATACGTAGGTGCGCAATTTATTTTATATCTACGTTATAATTCAGGACTTCAGTCTGCACTGCGGTACTTTGGATTTCTGCCTACCAGTTGAAAACGAAACAAACATAAAAACCATTAAACATAGAGAAACATGTTTTATTTAGTCAGTGATAAAATTATTATCTGGTATTGAATTCTGCAACCCATCTTGTTGGTGTCCATCGGCGAAAAATAAATACTTCACATCAGGTGGACCGCTTGCACGCTTGTCAACTTTTTATATATAAGAAAAAAATAGTACTTAAAAATTAACTAAAAATATATTTTTCACAATTTTTTTACGCACTTAATTCTTACTTTGTAATTATCAAAATTCCTTTACCTACTATAATCAACTGGTGGACTTATTAGGATATAACAAACTATTCTTATTTAAAAGTTATTTAGTAATTTTTAATTCGAATCGCGATTGAAGCGTTTTTTCTCAGTTTTTTGAAACTGTTATTTAATTTTATACTTGCAATTTTTTTAATGAACGTTTGTACTAATTCACTGTTGCTTTCATCTATCGAAAACTGTTCGTAGATATCACGAGATTGTTGATTTGAAACTCCTTCTTCTTTTTCCATTTCGTCCCTTGTCTGCTTAAAAATTCTGACGTCGTTCAAAGTCTCTAACACTCGTGGTTGGTTTATGGCGGTAAAGCTCTCAAATAAACTATTTGAAACCAAATAGCATTACTTATTGTTTTGAAAGTAGAGATCCGTGTTGAGGGACGTTAATACTTATTTATTAATATTTTTTCACGTGATGTGCACAGTAAAGTTGTAAGTAAGCAGTGAAGGGTCAACTTTCTTTTACTAGCTAGATATCGGTCCATTTGGTAACTGGAGGGAAATTCGTCAGGACCACCACATAACCCAAACATCTGTAACACCTTAATTTCATTAAATTTTAATAAAATCCAAGACCAAAAGACAATTGAAAAAAAAAAAAAAAAAAGAGAAACAAAACTTGTAAGTGCTCTCACTAGAAACTTCCTTTGAATATCTTTCTAAAGAATCCGATGGTACAGAGTAGTTAACTCCACATGTCGAGAACGGGGCACGTGTTTCGCTTCGGGACAAGTGTAGACTGCATTGATACGAATGCAATTTAATTGACTCCCTCTCTCATCAACGCGTTGGACTTTCGCAAAGTGGCGGTCGAGTTTCTTTATAGCGTTAATTCACAGAATCACAGGACCCTAGGGATATGTGTCATGTGATAGAACTTGTTTAAAATTCTATCATGAATAAATGTATAACTGTAATAAGGTAATAATGGCTTTAATGAAATTTTAATGAAATTCTTTTTCTTTATAGTAGTGTTCTCAATTTGGGATCCTTTCTTTCCTTACATTGCTTTATTAATTGCAATTAATTTCTTATTAATTAATCACTTTCAAGCTGATGGGTTAGCAGTGATTAGATTATCAAGCACCGCAATCCCCTCTATGACCATGAGTGGTGCATGATAGTCGAAAGTCTGGAGTTACATTTATAACAAAACAGCTGCTGAATTAGGAAAAATAGTGGTTTAAAATCTAATGACCTTCACTTGATGTATGAAAGTAAGTGTAATGATGTGTAATATTTTAGACTAGTTATCATCGATTACTTTCAATTTACTTATGAGTTATTCTATCTTGTTCAGATTCGATTAAGTTACCAGAATTCCTGATTACTATCCGAAATTCTCATCGGAATCACTTTATCTTTAATTTTAATAAAAAAAATTTTAATTAACATTTTATAGATTAATAGGGAGACAGTTCTTCAGAGAGAAGAAGACTGTTTAGAAGTTATTCCAAAATAGAATTTTTAAGGTTAACACTTGCTATGAAGTCACGATTTTGTCATTAGCAATTTGTCAATGTCTGCGTATATAAAGATGGACGTTTTATAAGCAAGATTATAAAGCATTTGCTGATATTATGCGCTTATCATCTACAGATACAACGCCATTTCCCTTAGATGGCTTACAATATTTTTTCTGTAGATTTGGTTACTAGCGACTACTATTTGACATTAGGTCCGTAATACTCACGTCAAATTTCTATCTCCAGTAGCCAAATCTATCTGTAGATATAGAATATTGAAACCGGCAGTTAGTCACGTAACAGTCAGCGTACCTAAGTTATAGTAAACTTAACAACAACGACTTTTTTCTTTTAGCTTTTTAACTAAATACATATGATTACTCTAAACTGTACCGTGTTTGGAAATGGGAAATATTTATGAACAAAGAAACTTTACTTTAAAATATCACCCTTTTATATTTTAATTTATTTTAGAATGAATGTCATTTTTTTAATTTTAGTTCATTGTCATGGGACTCATTTAATAACATATGGTCAAAAATTTGTCATTACCTTAGCCTTAGACTGTATTAATTTTATAATTGATTTTTGGGAGTTCCCTAAGTATCTCCGGAGCCCAAGATCCAATACCAACTAAATTAACATGGGACACCACATGGGAAGCATCAGCTTTCAAATAAATTAAAAATCATCAAAATTGGTTCACTCCGTCGAAAGTTCTGAGGTAATAAACATAAAATGAATATAGTTGAATTGAGAACCTCCACCTCTGAAGTCGGTTGACAGCAATAACTCCTGGCCAGTTTTTAGGGTTCCGTGTCCAAAGGGTAAAACGGAACCCTATTGCTAAGATTCCGCTGTCCGTCCGTCTGTCTCTCTGGCTGTATCTCATGGTTATGGTTAGGCAGTTGAAATTTTCATAGAGAGTTCTTAAATTTAAAACACAGCAGTCCTTGAACTTCAAACAAAAGACGAATCGATGAGATTTAAAATCGCGTGACTCTGGGTTCGAGTAAGTCGAAGTAATAGTGAACTTTAAAGCTGATTATATCCTAACTCCCATACTGTGGTGTTGCGAATCGTGAACGCATTCAACCGATTAGGCCACGTGTGCAGAATTTCATGATATTTGCGACGCAATAGCACTTCAAATTAATCAATTGAACGTACGTTGAGCGCGTGGCGTTAATCATCGTTTACGTGACCTGTATGATAGTCCATAATGTCCATAATATTTATTAATTAACAAAGTTTAATTCATCGGTGGTAGGGCCTCGCAGCAGCCTCGGCTGTTGCACGAATGGGCAGGCCCGTCTGGGTAAGTACCACGACCTCACAGAAGACCAGCGTAAAGTGGAAGTAGGACAAATACTTTCGCGTTTCGTCTGGTGAATGAGGTAGCCGAAGCCCAATTTTCAAAAGGTTGTCAACGCATCTGTAACCCTCGGGTGTAGCAGATGTCCATGGGCGGCGGTATTCACTTACCATCAGGTGAACCGTCTGCTCGTTTGGCAACTTTTCACATAAAAAAAAATATTTGTTTTGCTTTAATTAGCCTACTAATTTAATGGCTGGCTGTTTTTGCCCATGGGCGGCGGTAAACACTTACCATCAGGTGGAGCCGCCTGCTCGTTTGTCAACTTTTCACATAAATTTCAATTGTCTAACTATCATGGTTCATGAGATACAGCCTGGTGACAGACGGATAGACAGACAGACAGCGGAGTCTTAATAATAGGGCCCCGTGTTATACCCTTTGTGTACGGAACCCTAAAAATTGCCTAATTTAAACTCGAGCGTTGCTCACATGATAGCCGGACAGTTAGAGGAAAAGAAAAGAAGATAAATTTGAAAGTGCATAAGAATACAACATGGAAATAAAATAATATTTTTCCAAAGCGTCTATATAATATTTTTTTTCTCTCTTTTTAAAAACATTGCCCTTACTTTAGGATAATATTATCCTGTGTTGTAAGGACGTTTTACAAACATAAATTTCACGCGGACAAACACCCAGATGCGAAACAACTATCGGTGGGTTACACAAATAGTTGTCCCGTGTGGGAATCGAACCCACGACCCCCGACGCCGAAGCCAATACCTTGGCAACTGCGCCACGGAGTCATCAATCTAATCAATCAATATAATCTTCTATCAAGTGAAACTTCAAGGAAA